ATTATAAAACTTCATATATAAATACAGTTTTAGGATAAAACTATTAATTATAATATTATGTCTATTTAAGGTGATAACAAAATTGAAATGCAAACCAGTAGAAGGATTTAGCACAATTTTAAACAAACTGATTTATAAAAATATTAAAAAATAAAAAGATTTTCAACCTCCAATATTATTTTCCCCATCTAATAAATCTGAAACTAGGTTTTGTGTTTCAGAATAACTTCACTAACAAGGCAGTTGTCACTGTCGTTCAGTCGCTAAGTCATGTCCTACTCTTTACGACCCCATGGACTATAGCACACCAGGCCCCTTGTCCCCCACTATCTCCCAGAGTTTGCTCAAGTTCATGTCCATTGAGTTGGTCATGCTACCTAAACATCTCATAAAAATTACGTACTTCACTTTCATTCATCCCTATAAATATCTTTCACTTTAGGGAGGAGGGAAAAAAACTTCAAAATCTCCACTGAACTACTGAAGTATATAAAATGTTTTAACACATTAAAAAAACAGCAGTGATGTTACATGAAAAGAATTGTAAGCAATACAGTCTTGTGTTTTTAGGCAAGCAGTATTTGAATTTATTATTAGTGAGGTTCAAAGGTTAAAACTAAGAAAATGCCAGACACTTTGAAGGAGGGCTGGCTCAGCCAGCGGTCACGTGACAGCTACTAATTGGAAAATGTTAAAAAGGGAAGGGGGAAGGGCAGAGTATCTGCCTTCTCTGCCTTCTTTATTGTAACATTTGATTTTTACCAGAAGAAAAAAGAAAGCTAAGATTTGCATAACTCTCAAAAGAGGCTTGAAATAAATAAATCACCCACAGCAGACACCCCAACAAGGCTTCCTTGCGGTATTAGGAAAAACAAAAACCCGAAAAGGCTGAATTTTAAAATCAAACTATATTGAAGAATTTTAATAAAGCAAGCCTGATTGTCAAAGTAGCTAAATTGTTTTGTCATTATATTTACAAAATTAAAATACTCTTAATTATAGTACATGCCATTTTATTTCTTGATTTGTCTAAATATTTATATTGAAAAGAATGAATCTTTCAAACTATCTTGTGTGCCTTTTTTAAAAGACTGTTTTCAGAACTGACAATCTTCCAGAAGGTAAGTCAAATCAATGATAATTATATACTGCAAACTATAGATCAGTTAATTATAGATAAGTTAATTATAGAAAGCAACTTGTATTTCTTTGAAATCTTTTAAATGGTATTTTTTATTAGACAAGTCATGGAACTAATTTTTTTAACTAAGTACACATTTTTTATGTCTCTATAAATATTGTTAGACTCCTTAAAATGCATTCTTCCTTAAGTATACAATTTTTACATTTAATTCAGAATGATGAAAAGAATTTTCATGATTAATGCTTATACTTTATTGACATGAGATAGGAAAGTAATAACCCATAGCTAGATTTAAAGTTGGATTTATGACATCATTTTGCTTGTGCACATTAGCTGCAATTACCTGCACCACTCATTCTGAGCCACTAGATGGTGTAAAAAATAAATTTAAATGGTAAAATTTCATTTCATCACCATGAAATCTAAATATAACTGAGAAAGATTAAACAAATTTCCAGGTATATAATAATGCTAGTGATTTGTATTATCTACTGTACTTAAAAAAAAACTACTAATACATAGCATCAGCTCCACCTTGATCTAGAAACAAGTCCTTTTGAGAAATTTTTTCTCTCTACCTTGAGATCTGAATTTATGATACTCAGCACTCAAACTGCTGTCATCATTCATGTATTAAATAAATTTATTATATTAAACTATGGTCTACGTTTGCCAAAATTTTGATAAAAACTGAAAGACAAAGCAAATATAAAATTAGAGAATCACCAGAGGTTCCTATCTGAACTCACCCAAAGCCAAATGGGGAAGTAAAAGTCTTCACAAATATATCCTGAACCTCAAAGCAACCTGACAACAAATAGCTAAGATGCTCATTAATAGCCCTGAGTGTGTTCAAATTCCACTGAGAGAAAACTAAGTGTCCTTTCTTTCACCCTCACTAAGACCAACCTGGTTGATTCTACTAGGTCCACAGCTGGGTAAATATGGGTATTTACTCATCAAGCCAATGGTGACAATGTGCTAGCTAACAAAGTCTTGTCTCTTCTTTCAAAAGACAAAATGTGTTCCAGAAAAAATGCCCACCTCTAGAAGGCATCTCAGGAAATGCTGACGGTGGAACTTTAAATCATGTGAAAGGTTGATAAAGGAAGTATTTTTGGTCAGCCCAAATAACAGCATTTAGAAATTTTAGATGGGAGAATATTCTCCCTATGCATGAGTTTGAGCAAACTCCAGGAGATAGTGAAGGACAGGGAAGCCTGGAGTGCTGCAGTCCATGGGGTCACAAAGAGTTGGACACGATTGAGCGACTGGACAACAATATTCTTATGAGCTGGACTTTAACCACCTAACTTAGCTTTACGACGTGCATGCGTGTGTGTGCTAAGTCGCTTCCGTCGTGTCCAACTCTGTGCGACGCTGTGGACTGTAGCCCACCAGGCTCCTCCGTCCACAGGATTCTCCAGGCAAGAATACTGGAGTGGGTTGCTGTGTCCTCCTCCGGGGGAGTCTTCCCAACCCAGGGATGGAAACTTCGTCTCTTATGTCTCCTGTATTGGCAGGCAGGCTCATTACCACAAGCACTACCTAAAATTACCATCTCCACAGAACAGGTTTGGGAGAAAAGGAATGACTTCCCCCAGAATCCTAAATATATGATACACACCCATAGTGTACTTTCAATTTCACATTCACAGAAAATGATTTTCTGAGGCAATGGCAGAAATAAGACAAGCCTATGGGGGCACTGCTTGCTTCACAGCCTGTCCCAGAGGCTGGTACTCTGAGGCTTTCAGCAACAAAGACAACTTGATTCATAAAGAAAGCTTCAAGAACAAACCCACATGGGCTTTTAAGTTTCATATTTTACCACACAAAAATAATGGCTGCATTCCATTTATCCCTACAGTCTGAAATTCCAAGTGGAAGCTAATCAACCTTTTAATTTTATATGCAATTTTACACACAATTGAATTTTACGCAGCTAAATTGGTGAAAGAAAACTGTGAGCTAAGTAAATCTGAGGAATGATTCCAAGAAAGTTTCTTGTCAAGAACTGAAACTAATCAGTTTGCTTTCTATATTAAGTAACTGACTCAAAAAGCTGTCATTTTAACACAGGACTATTGAACGCTCTGTAGTAGGCTTAATCCAACAGTTGTGACATGGCTGTTTCTAGCTTCCAAGAACTGAAAGCATCCTTCTAAAAAAACAAAAAACTTACACTAGTGAGCAGAGGACTGTGAGAAACAAGAAACAGCTCTTACTTGGGCACCTAAGCTAGCCATGATCACAGCTGTCTGTATTTACTTAGTATTTCCACCCAGTAATCTCTACGTGTTTATATCTCATTTCTTTTGGATTCCTGGTGCCTAGAATGGGCCCTTGCATATTTTAGGTACTTTATGATGGTTACAAACTAAATACAAGTAAGGAAAGAAGGGGAGTGGGGGAGAAGAAAAGGGGAAAGGTAGGAAGATTGAAGCATAAGACAAAAAACAAGAGCAGAAAGCCCTGGTCTGGGAGTCAAGATGCCTGGTTAAAGGACTGGCTCTGGTACTTTCTTGATACAAGTTCACTTATCGGTGAAACCAAGGATGGACAGATGAGCCCCAAGGTCTCTCACTCAAATGTTCTATGATTCTCTGTGTATGAATTTACACACCAGTCAACTAGTGTTTAAATTCAATAAGTGATCTTATTTCCAAATTATCCTCTGTATCTAATAAGTCATACTACCTTGCCAAAAGGTTAAAAGTATTTCTCTAATGAGGACTGATGTTGAAGCTGAAACTCCAATACTTTGGCCACCTGATGCGAAGAGCTGACTCATTTGAAAAGACCCTGATGCTGGGAAAGATTGAGGGCAGGAGGAGAAGGGGACAACAGACGATGAGATGGTTGGATGGCATCACTGACTCAATGGACATGAGTTTGGGTGAACTCCGGGAGTTGGTGATGGACAGGGAGGAATGGCATGCTTCGGTTCATGGGGTCGCAGAGTCAGACATGACTGAGCGACTGAACTGAACTGAATCAACAAAGAACACTAAACTTCTAAACTTCTAATTTATATAATATTTCTCTATCTATATTTAAATAGTTTCTATGTATTGTTTGTTTCTAAAGTGTCCTCATGAAACAGACTGAGGGAGATATTTTTAATCCCCATATTATAGCAGGCAAAGTTAAAATATGGAAAACTAAAGGAACCCATTCATGTCTTTAGAAGTGTAATCAATTAAGAAACTCGATTTTTAGATAGATCTAAGGACAGAAAGATTCTGAATAATCCAGTGTCTTAAGAGGCAGAAACAATGATTTTTTTTTAATATATGAGGATGAGTTCATAGCAATACACTTTGATATTATGTTTACAAATACAATTATGCTAAACTTAAAAAAATTACCTACACCTGTCTGAATAGAAGAGTATTGCTTTTAAATTGTCGGAACACCCGATGTATTTACATAAAGATGAAAAACTTGTTCTATAAACACAGTGTTTCCAGTAGTGAATGGCAGACAAAATCAGAATAAGCACACAGAAGAATAAAAAGGAAGAGGAAAGAAAAACATAATAAATAACCTAATACCTTACAATGTTAACTTTCACATAAGTATATTGTTTCTGGAGAAGGCAGTATGTGGATGGGAGCCAAAGGCTGAAGTGATAGGTAAACACACTGTTAAGTTGAATCCTGTTATCTGATTGTGTTTAAAATTTGATTATATTTCACTTGACAAAATAATTAATTATGGTGAACTCCCAATTGTTAACAGGGATCTAGAAGAATTCCAGTTGGCATTTTTCCCCAGTGTCCTCGATCCAAATAGATAAAAATCCAGCTTTGTAGTCACCCTTTACAGTTGTCTTACTGGGGTATCTGCTTACCTTGCTAAGAATGTAAATCACATCACCACGTTTAAATGACAATTCATCAGAAAGAGCTCCTGTGCAGTCCCACAAACCCTGGTAAAAATTAGCATAATCGGTGCTTTTATCTCCTGGGAAGAAGAAAGAGAAAACAAGAGTTAGTTTTCCTGTAATGGGCCCGCATTTTTAAATGAACCAATGGTAATTAAAGGGCCAAAACAGCCTTAAAAAAAAAAAAATCTGTCCTCATTCAAAGAACACTTCATTACATCCACAAAAGAATCCTACTTCTTGCTCTCATCTAAGAATCCTTTTCAAAAAGATCTGATTTTGAATGTCTCTTTTTTCCTCTCTCCCTCTCTTGTTCTTACCTAAAACTTGCAACTGCAGTAAGCTTCTTCAAACCAGCACCTAAGTTACTTCCCACCTGTTTTCTATAACAAACTTAAGCCCACTTGCAACATGTTTTGAAGGTAAGTCAGCTTTCCTGCATAATGAACAATATGCATGAGATATGATAAACAGGCTGTAAAATAAGCACTGGACAGAACTTGTACTGAAACTACAGAAATAAGCACAGGGCATAATAGTAATAATAAAGGAGATAAGATACAAATATAAACAAACAAGACAACACACAAAAAATTTTTTTAAGTTTTTTAAAATGCAAAACTAGTTAAAGGAAGAGAATAAACTGAAAGTGACCTAACAGATAATTCCGGCTTTTTGAGGACTTTTGTACCCAAAGCCTCTCAAAGTTATTTCCAAACTATTTTAGCAACTTTGAAATTGCCAGTGCTGAAGGTGCATTTTTCAAGATTTCTGTCAGCCCTAGTTTAGGACATTAGACTCTGAATAAACATGCGACATACACTGGAGTTATCAGCTCATCCTTCTCACAGCATAAGCACAATGGATGTGATGTGCTCAAACTGCCATACAGACCATTAACTGATTGATTATTTAGCGCTCTCCATTCTGTAATACCACAATAAACTGGGTAATAAATGCTTTGTCACTTATACAATGTGGGTTGCCTGAAACAGCGCAGAGTTAAATACACTGGCTGCTTTTGTTACACTGAGAACTGTTTCCTGTTTTTAATTTCATGATAATTGAGTTTTGATGAGTTAACGCAAAAAGAATGCAAGTAATATCAATAAGATGTCCGTGTATTCACTAACCAGGCAGAACATACATGTGCTGACAACTTCCATCACTGGAATGTCATCTTTGAATTCTGAGGGGATAACTGTGGAGATGCATGGTGGATCAGGGTTGTCATCTTAGTTTTGTTATATGACTCTCAGACAGCAGGCTCCTTGGCAATTCCAACACAGTCGGTCATATTAGCGTGTCATGAAGGCATTCATCTTATTACACATAGTTGGTGATTTACACAAAGTCTTAGGTTTATTAGAAATTAAAAAAATTCTTTTTAGTATCTGAAACATTTTTTTAAGCCCCAAAGAAAACCTGAATAATATGGAGTCTATTTAGGAAGTAAGACACTACTTTTTCATTATATTTATAATATAAATAAGGACCAGAATACACAACCAGAAAAAATCCTCTTATTAAATTTTCCCCCTTGTTTTCTAAGGATTAAAAAAAGGAGAAAAGGAAAGGGGGGAGAGAAGGAAGAAGGGAGACAGAGAGACAGACACCTTACTGACTTTGCTCTTGCATGTGGGCACTCATCACTGAAGCCAGCAGGGCGTACACATGCCCAGGAATCCAACCGAGAACTAACAATGCTCTGTGGCCACCCTTATTGCATTTCTCCCCTCAAAGCATATATGAAGGAAATTCTATGAATGGACACTAGAGGGCACTCTGGCTGGACAGATCACTCCAAACATTGTCAAAATGTTTTTTAGAAAAAAATTACTTAATAATAAAGTGACTGATTTCCTTTAAAAACCACTTATTTAGACAAATAGGGATTTAGAAGTTGAAACATTCTAGTCAGATTAAATCAACTGCTAACTGGGTCAAATGTTGCGCCCCGTGCCGTCCGTCAGTGTCAGTTTAAAAGTCAAGGAATTAGAGCAAAGACAGGATGACATCATTTCACAGGCGAGGCCCTCCCGACAGCCACTGGCCAGGAGGTAAAAGGACTAAATAGCTGGTTGCCCCAGTGGAGGCTCCTGTGTGTTCCCCGTGCTGCTCAGCCTCAGGCTCGATCCCAAAAGGTTGAAGAAAGAAAACAGGCTAAAAACAAGAGAAGTTTTGGCTTAGCTGGAGCATCCCAGTGGGTTCTTCAGCTGTTCAGCCTGCTGCCTAATCTTTCCTTTTTCAAATTCTCTCAGAACAATTTTTCATTCAGTAGATTTTCAAAAGGTGGGGTGGTGGGGAGAAGGAGGAAAAAAAAAGTATATGGTGATTTCTAACACATAATCCTTATCACTTTGGGGTCTTTCTTCCCCTCGATGCACTTGGTGAAACCCCCATTAACACTAATGGGAGTTACAGGAACGCAGGAGGAGGAGAGAGACCCCCACCGTGTGCAAGATGCATTGCTCCCGAGATGTGCATCACGGGCATTTCATTAAATCTCACTGCTGTAAAGAGGCAACAGAGCCAGTGATCTGGCAATCCTGGGAACAAGAGGCATTTTCTACTTTGCTTTCTGTAATCTTGATGATGTTATCCAAAGACCAATCTCATTTCTGTTTCTCATATGTGAGCTCTGTTAAAGAATAATAAGTTGTTTACGTCACATGGCTACATGTACACACAATTGACTATTCTTTCTATTTCAGCATGCAATATTAGTTATGATGTAGAAGAATCACAACTGGGGAGATAACCTGGCAGTGTATGTTAATTAGCCTTAGTCTCTTTAGGAAAGCAATGTCAAAATTCTTAGCATGAATTCTAGACATAAAAATTAAGAACTATCTTGCTCCTTAGAGAGCAGCAAGCTCCTCTGGTTTACTTTTCTAATTTTTTTCTGTACTAGATTTTTATTCATTTCCTCTTCAGTGCATTTTTTTCTCTTTATAATTTTTTTATTTTTAATTGGAGGGTAATTGCTTTACAACATTGTGTTGGTTTCTGCCTACTATTCTAAATTTTAAGTGTGGCTAAACATACACAAAAAATTGCACATCGATATCCTTGGAAGCACTGTGGGTTCACAAAGGTTAACACCACTTGTACACTGAAAAAATAACCCGTGTGAGATGTGTTTTTTGCAAACAACATCAAAAAATGGAATGGAGTAACAATGTCATTAACCACCATCAATAAGCTTACTTTCTGAATACAACTTAAATCTGCTTAGTTGTTTTTACTGCATACATTAATTTTTATATTGTAAATTAGTTTTCCGATTCTATCCATGTCATGATCAACATCTTCAAAATTACCAAAAATAATCATCTCCTTATGTTTCTTGTCCTGAGAGGCATATATGGTTAAAAGAAGAAGGTAAAGAAAGAAAATAACATTGTAAACTAGCCAGTTTGTGAAAGATTTAAACAATGTACTTGCACCTGTAAGTTAAACTAGCAAAAACAGAACACTGGGTAATAAAAACAGAACTGTTACGAAAGTATAAGCTAAATATTGGAGATATTTAGTTTTGCAAAAAATGAAAGGATTTTTAAAACATGATGACAACAGATGAAACACACAATGATAGATAATGAAGAATGTCTTCTTGAGTAGTGTTAAAGGTTTAAAAACTATTTTAGAAAAATAAGCATACTATACAAAGTTCAAAAAAATCACATGGAGTATTTTTTCATATATATAAAAATATATGCAAGCTTAAGCATGAAAGAACTTGTAAGAAATATAAGATTAATTCTGTTTTTGCTTACATATTTCACATTAGTCTGAATTTTTTTTTTTTTTTTACTAAAATCAGTCAATGTGAAAAATATATAACATTCTTGAGTAAGGTTAGAAGTTCACATCATGTGATGCTCAGCAAGATAGTAATACCCTTGTCAACTCACTGCCCTGCACGGCAAACAAACTTCTAGTGTTACATCTTTGACAGCCTGGGGAGAGCAAAGGTCACTGCTATGCAAAAGCATTAAAACTGTTGCTTGAAAAGAATTTCGTGTCACTAAAGATAAGAATTATTGCAGTGCTTTATAGCTATTGCATGAAAAGCTAGATCTCCTTATTGCATTCCTTTGAGGAAAAACATTTGTTTTTCCTTCCCTCAAAGGCAAAAATTTGGGAGAGAGTTGCTTTAAAAGGATTTTTTGAAAAATGCAATTGCTTTAAACCAAAACACTTATATTTATGGGAAAAATATCTGTATGTGTCCAGTTTCCACACCTGCACTGAAATTTAAAAAAAGAAAATGACATGCTTTTAGCAGAAGCTTCATGATAACAAAACATACGTACTTCCACTGCCATTGAATGTCGTCCTCAAGGTTTTGCTCAGACATGGTGTTTATAGCTGCATTTTGCAGGAACAGAGGACTCAGATCTAATGACTTCGTCCTCACTTCCTTTCTGAAAAAAGCACACCCAAACCTCATGCACCAACCTGTTCCTGCCTTCCTGTCCAGGTCCGGAAGTCAGGCCTCTGTTTCCTTTCCACATGTCACAGTAGGAAGGACTCTGAAAAGCTACTTCCTGAACACACACTTCTTGTCCACCCTGCCCCTGACAGCTTGAAAGAGTGATGTATGGCCATATCAGCAAGGGGAGGCGACCCCCATCTATAGCTCTTTGCAGGACATAGGATGATATGGCAGACCTTGTCCCAGCTGACATGTGGCTATGAAGAGGTGTAAAGTCCTGATAAGAAGGCAGTCCTTCTCTTCTTTCCGTGTAAAATAATTGCTGATTTATCAAAACTAACCTCATGCCTGCACTACAGATACGGTTTATCTCCTGCTATTTGGAAATAACAACCAGCAAGAAAAGTTGCTTGTATCATGTGATTCTGTACAGAGCATATATAGCTATTTTTCCAGTCTCAGTCATAATTAGCACTTGGGGCCACGTGCCAAGTGGAAATGGATAAGCGGAATATCCTTCCTAGCCTTCTAGGCCACCAGTGTCCTTTTCCCATTTTTAAGCTGCTGTCACTGGACTCTGGCATTTCTTACCCAATTCATTTGCTTTCTGTGTTAATCATATGCAATGAAGATATGCATGGCCAACATTTAAACAGGCTGCAGATCAATTAGCGGTCTTAAGTTTATCTGATTTTTATCAAAGAAGACAGAGCTGTGGGTCGATTGTCAGAGCCTGTGTCAAGTTGACCTTTTCAGAGATGTCTACATTGCTAGTCCCCTGGGCAACTTGTTGTCCCCTGTTAGTCTCTGAATGGCAGAAGTCTGTTCTGCTCAAGCACAAAGTATACACAGATGTCTATATTACATTCTTATAGGTTTGACAGCAACTGCATGTTGTATCTATAAACTGTCCTTTAGCAGTGACACTTCCTCAATGATGATAAGCTAATTTATGCAACTAAATCTCCTTTGTGCAGAAATGAAAGCTAATTGAGTCATTACAAAGTAATTCAGGAAGGAATACCTTGTATAAATTGGCTTACTTTATAAATCCTTCTCAAGTGGTTTTCATGCATCCTAAATGGGTCTAAGCAGCTTATCAGCTATAAGAGATCCAGACCCAAGGACCCAACCTCAGGGAGCTGAGGACACATCTTTAGAGTAGGGAGAAAGTGATGAAAAGGAAAGTGAACAAGACCAAAATAAGCTTTTCCCACCAATTCATTACCTGTGGTATGGTGAACACTGTCCTGACTCATCTTCCTTTGTTCCTCCACTTTCATCAGAGCTCCGTCCTCCTCCTCTTCTGTAAATAAACAACAGATGGAACGCTGAAGTCCAGTACAAACAACACAGTACTCACCCCATCTTAAGAGCAAAACTAAAAGTTTATAACACATAAATAATCCTTTTCAAAGAATGAAACCACTCAACACCCACATTCCTTTTTCAATAACCTAAAGTTGAACAAATGAATCTATAGCTATATCCAAATAGCAACCTGACCAGTTGACTTGATAAAATTTAAGGTATGTACTAACATTTCACATATTTTGTTTTAAATGCTCACAGAAATTCATCTGGAACCATCTTAAATCCAGAAAAGCCCTAAAAATCCAGTAAAATGATACCCAGCATTATATGGATTGACCCCATTATACTGTGGCACAAATGCCACATATAATAAAATCACTGTCCCTAAAACATCAACAGAACAGAGAAAATGTGTGATATAAAACAGTTAACCTGTAAGTCATTTATTGAGTATCAGATACTTCATATTTCAGATACTTACAGAGCGATACTAGAATGAGCCTCACCATTCAAGGTAATTCCCCCCAAATTATACTCAGGACCTACTATGTGTCATACACTATAACAGATGTCAAGATTTTATAGATAAACCATTTTAAATCCTTATTTTACAGAGATATAAGTTGAGGCTCAAAAAGGTAAAGAAACTTCCAATGTTTGTTATTCAAATTTAGATTTGTGATTCCAAAGTCCATACTCTTTATCCTGATATGTTCATATATATCCTTATATTATTTCTACACTCACCCACCACGCTCCTTCTTCAAGTTATAGGAGAAAGAAAATGATATAAGATTAAATACTGCTGCTGCTGCTGTTAAGTCGCTTCAGTCATGTCCGACTCTGTGCGACCCCACAGACGGCAGCCCACCAGGCTCCCCCGTCCCTGGGATTCTCCAGGCAAGAACAGTGGAGTGGGTTGCCATTTCCTTCTCCAATGCATGAAAGTGAAAGGTGAAATTGAAGTCGCTCAGTCGTGTCTGACTCTTGGTGACCCCATGGATTGCAGCCCACCAGGCTCCTCCATCCATGGGATTTTCCAGGTAAGAATACTGCAGTGGGTTGCCATTGCCTTCTCCGAAAATTAAATGAGAAGAGTTTTAAACAAAGTCAATAGACTATTCAATTCTTTAACTCACAAAGGAATATTTATTACATGACCACTTCCTTCACTGAAAGATTTATATGAAATTTAGAAATATTTAAGGCAGGACATAGGAACAAAATGGCATGTCAAGGAAAAAGATGGATTCAAAAAGAATCACAATTTCAAGAAAAATCACAATTTTAAAGAAAAATATGCAAAAAATACAAATATAGTCATTATCACTATTAAATAATTTGGCAAATAATCTTCATTGAGCATTAGCTACTTGTAAGAGAGAGGGTCTACCAGACAGGAGGAGAGGCATGGACAAAAGGACAAGGCACAGGCATATTCATTTTGGATAAAGAATGTGGTGCTGGCAGAGGAAGAACAGGATAGGAAATAATGGTAGTCGTTTGGGCAAACTGTTGAAAAGCCGTGAACATTCAGCTACGGACTTCAGACATATCCATGTTTGGTGAGCAATAAGAACCCCCCGCAACTCCCCCACCGCCATCCCCCACCACCCCCAAATTTCTGAAGTGAGAAAGGGCAGGACTGAAATTGCTTGGGCATTGTCCATCTGATCTCATTGTCCCAGTCAACCGAGAGAAGGGGCGTGGAGAGAGACCAGTCCCAGTCTGGCTAAAGGGGAAGTTAGTCCTGAGCTGGAGGGGCAGAGAACATGGAGCGGAGATGATTACAAGAGGGGAAGGAACTAGGATAGACAAACTCTGCCTGACTGGATGTGGAGGGCTAAAGGAAAAGAACAAGCAACCAAGGATGGCTCATGTTTTGAGTTTAGTTAACTGAGAAGTGGAAACATCATTATTAAAAAGAGTAGAGCCAAGATAAACTGCTGTGCTGGGTGGCAGGGAGTAGGTGGTGGGGAGGGGGGAAACCACAATGAGTTGTGTTTCTGGCACTAGAGATTTAACATAGGGGCGGGGCAGCCCAGGGGAGACTGGAAAGTTTGGTAAAGAGATCAACAATGCATATGTGAATTGAGACATCTCATGCAGATTTTAAAGTGGTGATAAATAAAAACCAGCATTTAAATCAAGCTTGAGAGTTTACAATTATAACTGTTTCAAATTTTTGTAACTCAATTCCAACTAAAGAATGAAAGGTCCAATAAGGAAAAGCTGGAAATCATTGGCACATTATATGGATTAACTTAAACCTAAAATTGTCAATTTAATATAGTCAGTCAAATAGTAATGAGTACACAGAAGACCTAACAAAAACTCTAATACTAAATCCTGTCTCTTTTCAACAATTGCCTCATTTATGCTAAACCTCAAGGACTAGCTAACATAAATGGGTTAATAGGGTGTTTTAATATAAAATTTAAAGGTTTTAGGGACATTTACAGTCATTTAGTCCAAGCATCTCATTTTACAAACCATTCATGTTTTTAAGGAGAAGGAGAAGGCTTTTTGTACTTTTCACACTTTCTCTCCCCAGTATTCTCTCTCTTCCAATTTGGTCACAAATTCAATGCTGCTGCTGTTTCTGCTAAATCGCTTCAGTCGTGTCCGACTCTGTGGGAGCCCATAGACAGCAGCCCACCAGGCTCCGCCATACCTAGGATTCTCCAGGCAAGAACACTGGAGTGGGTTGCCATTTCCTTCTCCAATGCAGGAAAGTGAAAAGTGACAGTGAAGTCGCTCAGTCGTGTCCGACTCTTAATGACCCCATGGACTGCAGCCCACTAGGCTCCTCCGTCCATGGGATTTTCCAGGCAAGAGTATTGCAGTAGGGTGCCATTGCCTTCTCCACACAAATTCAAGAGTAAGAAGTAAATTGAAAAACAGTTAAGGGTGCTTATCCTGAAGTCAAAAGCTATAACCACATCAATATAGAAAGCACTATTCCTGGCTCTTAAGAAGATACTATGGGATTTAGACTCACCACCCAAAGTCAAGGTCAAGATATTATAAAAACTAATTACAATAATTTAGCGGGAAAATCTCTGCTCTTGGCAAAGTTGTCAATGAATTTAGAATTTACTCCTAAGAACTGTTCTTATTTTATTAAAATGTGTCTATAATGTGTACAATATACTCTTAAATTATCAGAATGATATTCAAAATATTTACTTAACTATCAATATTTTCTGTGAAGTATCCAAATTGAAATCCATGTGAGATGTTTAATAAGAAGTATTTTAGAGGATAGGATCCACATTAAAAACATTTCCTTTCTCCTTTTCAAACCTAGTACTGATATCTTCAGGGCAGAGCCTTCTGTGTTTCATATGTCAATTTTTCTTAACAACAGTCAAGCAACTCATTTTATCTTGGGCTAACAGTACAGTTTCCATATAAAAGACAACAAAATCAAATTTGGGGAGTATGTGTTCTTTTCTAGCCTTACAAAAAAACAACTCAGACTGAGTCTTGAATAGAATCTGGTACAAGGGAGATGTTCAATAAATATCAAGGAAAAAAAAAATGGGTTCCAAAATCATGAAAATAAATCTTATTACTATAATCATTTACTAACAGAGCAAAACTCTCCACATAATCCAAAAAATATATATGGACAAGTGACCAAATTCTAGGTTATAATCAACTTTACAATATATTAGATATATACATGTTTTATTGAGGTTTATTGTTAAACATATTTTATTTGGGGGTTGAGGCACAGTGTCATTACACGATACTAATTAATATCTCAAATAGTCAATGTTTGTGGGTTAATATATTCCATTCAACATTTTAATAACAGTAAACAAAAAGAGCTCAGCTATGCACTAAAATCCATCAAACCACACAGATGGTTATAAGGTTTTCATTAAGTGGTTTCCATAGCAATCATATTGCAAATCTGGAAGCTTCTTGCAAATAAGCAGCTTGTATTTACATGCCTCTCAGCTGCAGCACAAAACTCTTCAGCATGTGAAGTTATTATTCCAACCACACATTGTTAGAAGAATCATTGGGAGATTATTTTTTTTATCAGACAGGATGAAAATAATAATAGAGTGAACTAATTGCAGAAGATAACTCAAGCATAGTTATACATTTGCTAAACTAACCAATGAGTCTTAAAAATATTCTGATATTGCTTCTCAGCCTTTTGGCTAAGATCACGTGTAAAAATGTTCTGATAAGTCACTGAAAGGTTTTAACATTAAGCCCTGTCAAAAATATGAGACCTCCAGGAACAAGCAGACCCTAGTGAATCTAAAAGCTTGAACTCTACTTTCACTTTTTTTTTTTTTTTGATAGATATTTAGTCTTTTTTCTGAGTTGAGCAAAAAGAGAAGGAATAGCAGAAAACTGAGTCTTCCCAGATCTTTTTTTCAGGATGACTACCATTTGAGGAAATGCTTACTGTGGGAAAAGTCAAGACCCTTTTTTTCCCCTGCTAGATTAATCAATTTAATTTACAAATTGATCCAGTTCCATAACAGATGGATTATTACCCTAATAAGGATCAAAGATCTGTCTAGCTATGCAGTTTTTACAAAATGGGCTATTTCTGGCTTGCTAATGTTCTTTTTTAAGGTTAAATAACCAAAAAAGAAAAGTGATAAGCCAATGACATGTTTATCTGACAATGCTTGAAAAAGGCTAAAGACAATTTGTCAGCACCAAAACAGGGTGTGTGATGTTCACAGCAGGGCTAAAGATTGATACTATAATGTTTTCCAGGAAGAAGGGGGTGAGTCCACTTATCCTCTGAGTTAGTCCCTCAGTCCTGTCTGACTTTGCAACCCCAGGGACTGTAGCCTGCAAGCTCCTCTGTCCATGGGAGCTCCCAGGCCAGAATACTGGAGTGCGTTGCCACTCCCTTCTCCACGGAATGTTCCCGACCCAGGGATCAAACCCGGGTCACCTGCACTGCAGGCAGATTCTTCACTGTCTGAGCCACCAGAGAACATTATATACATT